CGGCTGGTTAACTTTTCATTTTCCTAGAAATCAAACCTGCTCACAAAGTAGACTTGAGTCGATGCCCTTCCAAATTTCAGCAAGATCGATGAGGAACTATTGATGTTTCAGTATACTTGTTTATTGCGTTTTCACATAAGACTGAACTCATTAGTTTTAGATAGCATGTAATTACTGCAAATAAAGCAACTGCCTCTGATCTACGCATCTCCATCACTGTAGCTAACCTGGAAACGAGAATGTTTTCTAAGACGTTTGACTTGACGACACGTCTTGATCCCGGGCTGGATACACTGCAGCATGCTGACAAAAAAGTTTAATATCTCCCACAAGGTCGTGCGTCGCCTGGACCCTAAGCCACAGGTCCTCAGAAAAGACACACGTCTGACAAAAATCATTCCACAGATCCCGTCGGAACAGACGATAGAAACAGGAGAGGCAGTGTTGCCGCTACTGGAGATCAGAACCAGGTGTCAACTCGGTTGGCAGGATCGCGTGTGGACGTACAGGGGAAAGACGCGGTGTGGCGAATAAATCTCTACAAACAGCTTACGTTGGGAGCCTGTAGTGACCGACTTTACACACACTTTACCATACATAACGCTTTCAAAGTGGTCTAAATCTTTTCAAGCTATGGCAAGCCGCACGCCTCACCACATGACCACAAAGTGACCTCGTTTGAAGTACTGAAATTGACCCTGTTCTCCGCCACCGAAAGATCTTCCTGCGCCGGAGACCAAAGGTTGAGCAGGTTTTCTTCAGTTCGAGCCAGCATTTGCCATCGCGGTTTCTTTTTTGTTTCCGGCTGAGCAAGGATTGAAATTAAGGACAGAGATGAAGTCATAGTGATATATATACATGGGTGGGTGTGCAGCTCCTAATCCACTTTCTGTTGTCCAAATGATTCACATTTCAAAAGCTCTTTTACTGAGATACTACAGCGGCGGTAAGAGTTAGCCGTGTATCGCCACAGTCCGACTATTTTTGAGACAAACGCCAGTTCCGTTGTGTCCTAGATCTCCTGAAGAAAAAAACGTTCTTCCATCCTCCAATGTGGCATTCATCCCATTTTAATTCTTCCAGCATGGAAACCTTTTCTTTCAGCGATAACCCTGTGTCATCCCAGCATCAACTTTAAGCCAAGACACAAGATAAGTTCGTCTCGCGTCTCAGGGTATGTGTAAGGATTGATAGCGGTCACATCACCTCTGACGTACCTGGGGCGTAAACAAGCCTCGGCTGTCAAGTGCCGTTTCTCATCTACTTTATATATATCTCCATGAGATAAACCGCAAATCCTTCAATTATATATTGATAGTGAGGTGGCACATTTTGGTCTGCAAACACTCACTATCTGCAAGCAGTTAGTTTATCATTTCTCACAACCTTCCAAAATTTTGGATGCCGGTGAACTCGGGGAAAAACACACGAGCGACGTCTAGCATTATATAAAGCGAGACTTTTTTTTAGATATAATGCCCAAACGTTTGACAGTACTGAAGCAGTAGGCTACTGGAACTGTGTTACAAGGGACCAGCACCTAGCTTGGCACAGTAAAGGTAAACATAACAGGCATTCGTCGATGTGCGATACTGATGAAGACGAAGAAGATATCTAGAGTTCTAGACGATCATCGGATGTGTGACAAAGATGCCACCCTGAGTAGTGCACATGCACATCTCATACACGGCTCATGTCACTACTGACCATGCTGAAGTACTTGGCGGGTTAGAAACAAGCGATGACTTCAACAGATCCGCTGCACCCGGCCCTGCCTCAAGCACTGACCTCAGGCTCCCAGAGCCTCTTCAGGATCTCTCCAGACAAGTGTTTTGCAAGCAAGATGTCAGCATCGCCTGGACCTCCTACTCAGTTGACGAAAGACACGGGAGAATCCTCCACAACAGAATCTCAAGTAGCGCCTTGGAAAGGAACAGAGAGCCCTTCATGGCCTTCATTTTGACCTCTTCGGTCACAGCGGTGTGTCAGTGGAGGATGTTTGGATGCGGCAGTGATGACATCTATCAAGTTTATGAATGCAGACTTCGTAATCTCGCTATCTGGATTTCTTCTGTGGCGAAAGGATCTAGGGACAGGACTAAGGATTAGATGGAGACTGCAGCAACCAAATGGAGTTTTGTGGGCAAAAGAGCAAAACGTAGTAAGGGCCACAGTAAGGTAAGGGAGGCCAGAAAAAGACTGCTCCTAATATGCTCTATATCATACCATGGAGTTGCTCCTACCTCAGACTTACCCTGAGGCAGTGACTCGATGTTTGTAAGTTTTTAGGCACGCGAAGCTCAACTACTGTGGCAAAAGGTATGACTAATTGTCTAGGAATTTCTCCCCTGAACACAAGTCTGCCGCAACACCCATTTCGATATCCCCATGATACTTCAGTTTACCTACGGGGTCAAGAGGGTTAGGAACGGGTTCCCCGAAAACTCCAATAGAAATACCAACAAAAGTCCATTTGTTTTCCACGGTCCTTCCATCAAAGTGGGGTCAACGAAGGACAAAGATGCATTCATCCTCGTTAAACGGCTGAAACAGGCGCAGGCATTGGGTGGTCCATGATATGGCATACGTTCACTTTGTACAACATTATATGATAAGTATGACATTCATATACTAAGTAATATTCATAGAAATTGAACCTGTCTACAGTAGTTCACGTTATTTCGTACAGTTTGTTAGTAAGGTAATTAACGTCTGGTTTGTTCATGTCTTTTTTGAAAGAGCATAAACGTGCAATAAAAGTCTTTTATTCATTCATATGATACAGTTTATTGGTGCAAGATAGTGCGCTAGTGAGGCTTGAACTTTTAAGTGATGATTTAAAAATCATCACTTCACGGTGTTCAAGGCTAATAGAAGACAGTTCCGTCTCAGATGCGTCTAACAGGAAGTGAAGTGTCTCCTCCTGTGAGAGTAGCGGGATGCTGACAGCTCCTGGGCAGGTGATGGGGTGAGCAGTCTGATGACCCGGTCATGGGCGAAGACGTTTCGGTGATCTCCTGACTTCGCACTGTCACAGAAGTCGGTTCATGATGACTAATTTGGGGTTTATACCACACTCAGGGTTTTCAGTCTAGAAAATGTATGACAGAAAAAAAAGTTAAGGAACATTCAAACATAAGCGGACGTGGTACATATTTGGATTTTGGAGGGTCTTGATGAATGAATGAATGAAAGAATGAATGAATGGTTTATTCTATCATTTCGTGTTGATGATACAATCATGTGGCAATCAGACCAAAATGACTGGTGAAGAGGGCTTACACGGCTTTTAGCTGCCCCTCCACAATGTTTGAGTGGACTAGTCCTGTTGAGTCACGATTGACGTGCCCATGCAGACATAGCAGTCCAGTGTTTGAGTAGATACTACAGGCTACTGCAGGCTGTAGGCTGATGAATAGTCACAGAACAGACTGTGCAGGTCTGGCATATCTTCATAGCGTTGCGCTGCCATCCAAGTGGTCACCCCAGTAGGTGCATTTAACGCACGTCCAGTCACTGCAATATTTTCAGGCCAGAGAATCAGATAAACCGCCCAAAGTTGTATTCAGCCACCATGGAGGTATAACCTCCATGCAGCCACTGACGGACCACTGACCAGTGGACACAAGAACGGGTCACTGCAGAACAGAATCAAGAAGACACCATGCTGTGAAACTTTGTGGCAAGCTTCATGTAATAACATGTTTAATTGTGCTGTTTTATTGCAAAGGTTTGGGATGATAATAGTTTTCACAAGATTTTTTCCGCACTTTGCCATCTCCCGGCCAGGATTTGTCGGACACACCACAGGTACAAATGTGCCTCTCAGCTACCCACAGGATAATTTGACCTTTCACCAGACACGTTTGTATCAACCTGTCCTTACTAATCCCGTTCTCTAGCCAGTTCTACACTAAACAGGAAATCCTTGTTTGTGGCTGTTTTATGCAGTCTTATCTGAAGTTTGTTTGAAATGTAAACAAAGAAATGTTTTTCTGATTTTTCATTATATAAATTTCGTGACATCCAAAGCTAAACTAGTTGCCAAGCAAGTGTACATGCTTTGTAAATCTTCATGAACGTAATAGTAATTTTTTTTCTTTTGGGGATTTTCTTGTCATGTGGACTACTTTTTCATCACTTGAAAGGTCTGTTTATCTGGATGACCATAAAATTTTGTCAAACTCTCTCCTCATAACTTCAGTTCATTCAAAGGATGTGTTGAAGTTGAACCTGCAACTTTTCTCATTCGAATTCTATTGCCACATGAACAGAAGCATGCAGCCAACTGTAAGAGGAGAGCTTGAAGGTAACGAGCACAAGGATTTACCCTGACTTACCAAGGATTAACCAACTTGACCTTGTGACTGTTTTCTCTTCCTAAAATCAATTCTCTCCCTGTGTTCTCCAGGGGAGAGGCAATATTACCTTATGACTCAGCATCTTGTCTTCTTTAATCTGTCTTGACATGTTCATAGCTGAGTACAGTCCCAGCAGGAGGAAGTGGGGCAAAGTGCTTCTTGTTCTTGGTTTTAATGTCCAGGCTAGCAGGGAGGGACTTACGGATGTATCTTGGCCTTCTACCTTCTATTTGTTACACGTTTGTTCCAATGTTGGCCATGTGGCTTTGGTAAAAGGAACAACCTTTCAAATATTTCAAGTAGTAGACAATTTCTTCCAGTTGAATCTGCTTCCATTGCACATTTATTAGTATTACAAAGTACCTTGTAAGGTAATCATCAATCCTGACCATAGTTTCCTTAGAACTCCACCATACATACTGCTAAACCCTTTTAGTGTCCAAAGAAATCTGTACAATTGACACTGAAAAACTGGTAACAGATGGTTACACCTGGTAAAAGATTAACACCAGTTTTAGACTCAAGATCCGCGTGAACTTCAAAAGCTACTTCCTCCGGCCTTGACAGAAACCTTCTTCTTCCTTCCTCTGTCCCTCCCCTTTAGACTAACATTGACAAGTTCAGGCACTGAATTCTAACAAGGACATTTCACAGAAATTCCATATTATGTCATTGTATGAAAGTAATGTCTACATCACCTCTTTTCATGGCAAGTCTTGATGATAAATAGTTTTGACTTATTACAGAAACCCAAATGGTTAACTTCACTGATGTGACAATGTAGGAGGGACTAAAATGACACATGTCTGGGACATAACAAGCCTAGAAGTACAGGGGTCCTGCAGGATGTCAGCTCTGGTCTGGTGACTGGAGGGACATCATGCTGCTCTTGACCAGGTCAGCCACAGTTCACAGGATCATGTCTCTCCTCAGTAGTGCACTGGCTTCCAACAGTCTGTGGCCTGTGTTGTGAAGAAAACAAGGTGTCATTGGATCTTAACATGGAAAGCTACACTCTGTTTTCTGAAGTGTGGGAATGTTTGTTTTGGGACAGGCCATCTGACCTCCTGAGGCCCCTGAGGGACATACAGGTAGACTCTGAACATGACTGGTTGGGCAAACACTAGGACAATGTGACCTATGATAATTGAATTGAAATTGTAGTTCACATACCAGAACTCCTATGGTCAGTTAGATATTCAGTGGTCAGTATAAGTGCTAGAATGACCTCTTTGACATCCATGAACAAGGATCCATGGTCCTAAGCAATCACTTTAGCTGGCTAGATTACCTGTACCCATTTGGACTTGTTAGAGTCAGTCACCCAAAACTGACCATATGAAAGCCCAATTTATCTCCCGTCCTAACTGTCCCAAAGTAAAGAAAAGGAACACAAGAATAACACTGTCCACTCTGTCACTAAGTACCAGTGGTTATCTTCAAAGGTTGGCCAAAGCTGACCAGAGTTTAGACTTCCAGCAGCCATGAAGGCCTTTGAAACTGATAAGCCTTAAACTGGCTTATCTGTCCTTTTCTTTGCCTACAAAAACTACACCTTACACCAAAATAATAGAGGCAGGAAACACTGTTGAAAGTTGAGGCAAAGTGTTGTCGACATGTCCTTGTTGTAGACCGAGGCAAGTAAAAATGTTTTGGACAAAAGACAGGAATGCATGCAGAGCATTTGTGGCATATGCTTAGCATCTACCTTTGACTTCTCTGAGTACAATCAGCTCAAACCTGAGGGTTGCAAATGACACAATTTGAATTCAAACTTATGAGTTAAAGACAAACATAGACTCTTTGAGTAAATTGCAATTGGTGGGCAATTTCAGAGGTGGTAATTTTTAATCGAAATTCGTGCAATACATTTACAATTGATAAGTGTGCAGCCACGCTGCTTTATTGCCATTGTATTTCAACTTAATAAAAGTCTTGGAAACATACGTCACAAGCAAAAAGCGCACTCCTGTTGATTCTACTTTAATCAAAGTATAGCTCCAATTCATTCATCTAATTAGTAGTTTTTGTGCCCTGATTTGTAAACCCCACCTGTGAAAACTTGACTGATCCTAAGGCAACACCAAAGAAAAAACTTCTAAATTCAACATGCACAATTTCAAAGGCAGTAAAGTTTACTCAGTCTCAGCCTGTTGAAAGGTACTTAAAATCAACACACCTGTTCATGATTAAGTTTCCCACTTTGCCTGGTGTTCTAGTAGAAGGAAATCTTGGCATAAACTAATCATCATAGCTTTAAATTTAAGGAGTAACAGATAAAGGACACATTATTCTAGAGAAAGACAGTAATATAATGTGCGATTGCTAATTGCTATCGATCGTAAGATGTCAGCCTACATGGGGTGACCGGTTGAAAGTGGTTTATTAAGTAACCACCATTTACAAGATCAAACAGTGTTAGCGAAGTGGATCATTTTACTGTTGTTTGATGTTGTCAATTCAAGTGCTATTAGTGGTTTGTATTACAGCACTTAGAACTCAAGTACCCGAGTATCCATATCATACAACCATTATACGCCTCGTTAAGCATGTTGAAACATAAAACAAGCAGACTGTAGATGCAGCAACTTAAAAGCCTTTTTATGGTGTTCAGTATTAGCATTTGATCCACTACCACTTGTTATTAGCATGAATTATAACGACTTCCTACATTAAGAGCAGAGCAAACATCTGAACAGGTTGGAATGATCCATGATTGATGTAAGGTATGATAAGTACAACGTCCCTGCTGGGTTTCTTGTTCAGCTCTGTGGGAAATGATGTTATCAAAGTTCTTCCAGGCAAACCCTGTTACTGCACTAGGAAGCTTGTAGCTTGTCCTGCATCAATGCAATGCCCTACTTCTTCATCCCCACCATGGAATTGATAGATGTATGTATTTTCTTCCAAGCCCTGCTTTTTATTTTACTCTCCACAAGTTGATTACCAAGACTGTGATCTTCTACTTTGTACCTATTTCTGACAGCTGGCCAAATCAGTTTTTAGCAGACTATTGGATGGTTATAGCTCCCTCACCTGGTTTCCAAACCTATCATAGCTCCCAAGTCCTACATCCTCTATGCAATGATGTAGGACTCAGGAACTAAAATAAGTTTGGTAACCAGGCTAAGCTTAAAATTGATCAGTTAGCGGAGGATAAACCCCACTGTTACACAGATGTCAGCTGCACAGACCTTCTGCACAGACCTGTTATCACCTGTCCCATCGCCCTGGCGACATGGCTGACCCTTGGCAAACAGCAGGTGTTTTCTCTGACAACAGCTGGGGTAATTTGCACCTGCTTGAGTCCACATAGGTAGGAGTACCCTCACCTGCTCGGGTGAACCTTTATTTGTCTTGCGGAGATTTGGGGACAAGAATCCGCACGAGATACGGTTACCTGGTTTAGATCTTGGAAGTTGTCGCCTGCTGGCTTTTTAAAGTGCCGATATTTAAACAGTGCACAATGGCTCTTATAAACAGTATCTGATGCAGATAAAACTGTTATCTTCTTCCTGTCTCCAACCCTTTACACTTGTATCTTTGCTGTAATGTTGAACTGGGCTACAGTACAACCTTACTGTCTTATAATACAAACAAAAGATCCCTTTTTATGATTTCTAAACTTCAAAGGTTGTACCGTATCTGACAAATGGAGACAAATTCAGCCTTTCTTTCTTTCTTATTCTCTCTTGTCTTCAAAACTCCAGCCTATGATTCTCCCAGACTCAACTGATCATGATGTGTTTCTCAAATCTTTTGCGTCTTAACAACAGTCTGCAACATTTCTTTATCAACCTTACTGTTAAGAAGCAAGGACATTCTTCAACATTTCTATCACACAGGTGTCCCAGGCACTATCTGCCGATATAGCAGAGCAAATGTGATGATCCTTACAATACCATACACCTGTTCCATTTCTTACAAGCAAGTCAATGTCTAGTGCAAAACTTTGTTCAACATTTCAACAAGCAAACAAGCATCTATGTTATTACCTGACAGTTGTTTTAGCTAATGTGTCACACTCTGCTATTTCTGTCCACAGGTAAACCTAAACCCCATTCCCTGCTACCTCAGCCCATACATTCCTACACCCCAGCCTTGTGGGAGCTGCCAGAAGGCTTCACATGGGGGCAGGAGGTGCTGACAGAGCCTCTACACGTGCTGCACCTACTGTGGGCGGCTGGTCCGGGCAGTTTTTGCTTGGCACAATTTATAGTCACAATTAGACTTTCCTGATTGGCAGAAATAAAAAAGCTTAATATCATTTTACCAATCAAGCTGTCCTGAATTGGTACCTACATTTTATTTGTGACTTAATGACCTTTTCGCATATCACATACCTGCCATTTAAATTAAGGGTATGAATTATTATTCAAGGTGTAAGCTTGTGTGTCGTAGATAGACAAAAAAAAGATAACCATTACCTTTAAATCTTGAACACAGTTATCTGCACTATCACACAATGCATATAAATAGATGAGGAGGAAGCAGAGTGGGATTGGTAAAGTTTATACTAGACCACCTTTAGATTTCAATCTCTTCTCCAGAAGTAGAATGGGGAGTGGGTTAACCTTGGTGTGGTTCCATGTTCTGTCCCTCAGTGCTGGTAAACATGGAAAGGGTGACTCCACAGTGGTTGGTAATCGCTTGACTTATGTTGAACATTGAACTTTTGAGTCACCAACACAACACAATGTGCTTTCATAGTCAGTCCAGCCTTGTACATGCAAATACACTTGGGGTCCAACAAAACTCTTGTTTTGTCTGACTTTACTCTTAGGGTATTTCTGGTGAATGTTCTAGAGATTTGAAAGCATTTTCAAATGTTTAAACCATCATCCTTTTCAAGTTTACACAATGTTAGCGGTCAAAAAATTTGGTATCAACAAAGCAGACAAAAGTAATCCTTTTCTTCTGTATTTGCAGAAAACATACATGTACATTTACAAGACAGTGAGTGCAAAGTCCTCATCTGAACATTTTGGACTCAGTGGGTAGATAGGTCTGATTAGGGAACCATCTGCTGACAGATAAATAGTGTTCCTGTGTGGTGGCCTTGCTCACACCTGGCCTTGTGAATCAGGGCTCTCCTGACACCTGGCAGACACCCACCCACCCCTGCAGCTCAGGAATGTCTGCCACAAGTCAAGTCAGCAGTGGGGTGGACATGAAGGGCCTGAGGAGAGTGGGAAGACCTTGTAATGGTTCGGCTAAAGGTGTGGTCACATTCATCCGAGGTGACGGTCATATTGTAGAATTTTCAAGTAGGCAGTAACAGAACTAACAGACGACAATCTAAGACAGCATACATGTCTTCTCCATAACAATTAAGAGAGTTGAATTTGCAGTACACATGTACGGCTACATGCCCCCTGTTTGCAATCATACAACAATTGCACGACGTATGTGACCGGGTCCTAAAAGAGGAAGAAAATAAAGGACTGGACTGGGACAAAAACTAAGCACATCAGTATTCTTTTTGGTTCTGGAAAGCTTTAAACATTTATGCATGTAACACCTTTAGTACGACAGATGTAAACGGCTGTGGTTTCTTGACAAGAGATATGGGTCAGTTGCCAATCAAATATCCACAGGTGGCATAAAGTTTAACTCCCACAATTTATACTCTACACATACCAGGGCAAAGTCATATGATTTATTACATTGGCCCAAACTATCGATTTCTCACCTGTAAGTACAAGCTTTCAGAGCCACAGTTGCTCTTAGTCTTAGTCTTAAAGCTTGAAAGAAATTCTTGGCAGTCAGAAAATCCCTGCTACCTTGTGTATATATCTGATATAGAACCAGTGTTGACTGCTGTGCAGTGCCAAGACTGTAGTGGTAATCACATGGGACAGTTTAGCTTCACCTTCTATCAGTATTGTACTACAGTTTTCCTTCCCACTCCCACTTTTCTGTCAACTTACATCAGATAAAACTTCCTTTCTCCATCCTCCAG